GAAACAAACCACAGAGATCAGGGAGAAAGTTGTGTGTAAAGCAAAGTTATGTTTTAAAATGTTCCATGGAGCACTGTTCGATCCATAATCCAGGCTGGGCAAGAACTGAATTAAAAATATGTTGACAGGAGTATTAGTAATGACTCCACAAATCATCCCTTTACAGAGAAGTTTCAAAAGGAAAGCCATTGTTGGAAAAAATAATACATTGCAAGTCATGTTTGCAGTTGATCACACAGTACACTTGTAGAAGATGAGACAAAAAAATAACTTTTTGGATTACATGCAAAATGCTTAGTGGCAGAAAAAAAAACAAACAAAAAAAAACTATCACTGCACATCTCTGTTATATGTATATAGGTATCATGAAAGAGGATAATTTTTTTTCAACAGGGACAGGGAAAATGTGCAAAGCTAATTGATGGATATAATAATATGCAGCTAACAGAGTTAGCTGCATATTATTATAGATTTTATAGATTGGGACATAGGCTCACATTCTAACAGAATAATTACTAAATATATAGTTGGGTTTTCATGTAATGTGATCAACATGGAAATTGACGTTTACACATGTTCTCCAATTATTTTATTGTGTTTGAACTCTAAAAATAGTTTAAACACTATTTTGAACTAAAGTTCACTATTTTGAACTATTGTGTTCAAAATATAGTTCAAAGGGGCCAATATTTTTTGGTCCCTTTATAAAGCAGATAGAGATGTACCTAAAATCTCCTGCAGCTATATTTGGAATTAATGTCCGTCACATATATATCTGTTTAAACAACTGGTCTACATAGAAATCCAATGAAAACAATGAAAAACAACTTACCTTTACCAAGTGAAAAACGCTAGATTAGATGACCAAGTATTTTTTCCTCTACCTTAGACATTTCTCAAGAATTCACAAGATACTCTTCCTCAGCAGACAGCTCTATCATTGAGGAGAGATACAGTACAATTACTACTAAAATAAAGAGCTCTAATTGAATCCTTGTGCTCTTTGTTACATCATCCTTTAAATATGATCATCCCCACATTGCTGTGTCCCAGAATGCCAAGGGAAACAGAGAGCCCCATAATTTCTGATGCCAACAGAGGACACACGGTTTCTTTGTCTCTCTCTCAGGAAAACTATGTTGCCGACTAACATGAGATGTCCTCCGAGTCTTAGGACTCCGAACTACAGCTGCCCTATTTTTTTTTCCACTTTCACAAGGGTAGATAATTTAGCAGCAAATTTGTGCAAATGCTTGTTATGAGTGTGCATGTGCACGTTTGTGTGTGTGTGTGTGTGCGTGTGTGTGTGTTTGTGTGTGTGTATATTTATACTGTGGAACATAAGTGGGTTTTGGAATGAGAGAGAACAGCTCTGAGGTCTACACTTACACACTGACTTTCCAACCAGGCCATTCCGCCATCAGAAATTACAGGCTGAGAATTCATCATGCAAACTACTTCAATCGCTTGCCAACCTCAAGACCAAGTTTCTCCGTCTGGCTTCTTTTATCACGGTGTCCTGTCCAAAATTGGCCTGTAGCATCTTTCTTCTCCGTGCTGTTTTTCAAAAATACACATCCACTGACAAAATAACCAAGGAATGCTCTCATCTACTGGGATGTATTCCCAAAACGCAACCTGTAATTTCTCTCAAAGGGGACAGATAAGTAGCAAACACAATTATGCATGGCCAGTCTTGAGGAGTCTGGAGAACCAACTTTACTTAAAGCTCATCTAGCACTTTCCAGACACAGATCAGTCAGTTCTCTGGAAATACACAGACTATTCCATTTCAGATAACATTAACATAACATTAGCAAAAGTTATTTTTTAAGACATGATTTTTCAACAGCTGTCTCAGGTTTTATTGTTAAAAAGAAAATCCATCAGATGCTACAAGCAGCAATCAGTGCAAGAAAGCCAACTACTATTAATCAAAAATGAATATGAAATTATTCAAAACCTTACACATGTACAATGCCTCACAAAAGTTTTCATACTCGGATTTTTTTTTCATCGTGTAACCACCAAACTGCAATGTATTTCATTTTGATTTTATTTGGCTGGAAAGAGTAGTCAACACCAGCAGACAAAAGAGTGTGTTATGTATATTTTAAATGCAGCACAAGTGAGTCAGTGGCTGAATTTCCTCCCCAACTTGCCAAACAAATCAAGAAGAAAGATTTTAAGAACCAGTGATGCATTTTAAAAACAATATCCTCAGCTTTCAAGATCTTACACAACTCTGTTCAATCCAACATCGATTCAGTTGAGTTCAGTTTATTTATATTACACCAATACACAATAAAGGAATCGCAACATAACAGCAAACCATCCAAAACATGGACAGGCTAGAGTGAGAACCACGCAGCATGTCTCACAGCAAACACATAGAAGAATGTTGTTTGGGTCAGAGGAGGCATACATTTTACATTTTAGCCTCCATGCAAAACAATATCTGTTTCCTACTGAAAATGCCATCCTCAGGGTAAGATATGGTGATGTATTAAGCTGTGGGGATGTTTTTGTTCAGCAGGTGAGGAAGATTTACGGAGAGAAAATATTGCAAGAAAACCTGTTGAAGGCTGTAAAATACCTGAATTGAGGTACTGGCTTGCAACAACCCTAAAGCTGCAGCCAAAGCAACAATAGAATGGTTTAGATAAACATATTAGTCAGCCTATGTCTATACCCAAATTTTACTTAATATATGTATGACTACTTGAGATGGTGTTCATAAAAGGTCTGTAATCTGAGTGAATTTGAGCTGTAGTTTGAAAAAAAGAAAAGAAAGGGAAAACAAAAACCATATTGCTCTAAAGCAAAGCTGGTAGAGACATACCCCAGAAACATTGTAGCCCTAAATGCAGTAAAAGATGGTTCTACAGAGTACTGACTAAGGCTGGCAGAATACCTTTTTTTCCAAGGAATTTTGAATTATTTGTTTAAAATATCAAAACTGCATTTTTTTGCTCCCACTTTACAATGATCCACTACTTTGTTAGTTTATAAAAGCACAAAACAATAGATTGAGGTTTATGTTTAAAACATGACAAAATGTGAAAACAATGAAGAAGACCTTTGAATAAAAACGGAAGCCTAAGTGTTAAAAAGAGCTCAAACTTTTTTTCCTGAAACTGTTTCAGAACAGAAGGATCCAGGTATCCTAGCAAACAAAAGTTACAAAGAACAAAATGTACTCTAGCTGAGATTTGCAGGGACAGACGCTGAAAGACGAGTTGCAGCCACTTGGCAGATTTCTTCGCTTTGCATATTTTACATGTGATATTTCAACATTTCACTTACTCCATAGCCCCTGCAGCAGTGCAGCATTGTCACCGTGTTAAGAGTTTATGTTCAGAACATAACTACCCACTGTGGAATTATTTCTTCCTTTTTAATTTGCAGACTTGGAAGCAGGGAGACAGAATCAAAAGGCAAGATGAAGTTAAAACAGGAATCACTGTTGGCAGAAATTTACAGGGAGTGATATCAAATGAGACAGCAGAGGGAATTCCATCCTCATGAAGAGCTTTTATGTCAGATTCAGGAAAAGCATACATGGATCTACACAAAGTCAAGGGGAATTTTCTTCAAAGTGTTCAAAAGTCAGCATGCGTTTGAACAAATCCCTATCACAACTCCTGGTAGGGTGTTGCTTTATATATTCCGATCTTAAATAGATATGTGCACTGCAGACTGTGTCAGCCACTCGAAGACCCCTGTGGAGCCTCTTGTCTCAATGCATGGCCCACTGATCACTGCTCGGTACGCAGGTACGACAGAGTTGCTTTGTTCATCCACAAATAGGGGTGGGGGGTGGGGGGCCGGAGACAGCACCACACTCACCTAAAGTCCCTTCCCCCTAAACCTCACTGTGTGTATGTGTTCGGTTTTAGTCGAACTGGGCTTCAGCTTTCTGGATTTAATTTAAGAACAAGCACTTAGGCAGGTAGCGACAGGCGCCGAGTCCCGCCCAGGGCATTGAACACTCAGCTTTGCTCAGGTTGATCGGCGCACCTACATTCCTGATGCCTGACTGAGGCTGTGCTGGAATAAATGGTCAAACACTGACTGTCAACCCACCACAAATGTGTAAGTATCCGTGGTAACATTTCATGGGAGAAAACAAACAAAGGAGTTCAACAGGGCACTTTAAGTACTTTGTATAACCTAAATATATTGCTTCAGTTTTTGACATAACGAGTGGGTTAACATCGGATATATGATACCTCATGTCAAGGAAGTTCATTAGTCATCACGGTCTAATTTTGTCTTCAGAGAAAAGTTGGAAGTACAAGTTCATGTACAGGAAGCAACAAATCTTAAACTGGAGCCATTAATACAGAAAGTTACAAACAGTTGCCTCTTTTCTGGCTGCTCTTTCAGACCACTGGACAAACACACTCCACTGTCAGAGTTAACCTTTAAACACTGTGCTTAAGTCGTTTTCTCCACTCCCCATCATTATTGCATGTAAGCCCTCCTAATATAGCTCTGCAAGACTGCCAAATGCATCCTCATTACTGCTACTGACTGTTTTAATGTGGCTGCTTTAAGCTGCATTTCCGACAGAGTGTTATCAAGAGATAGTGCGGTACACCGCCCAGCTGCCTCACTCTTAAACAAGCTAGGTTGCATTCTGGTTTGATTTTATTTTACTTTCCTACCCATTTACTCAAGATTTAAAAAATCTTCTATACGCAATATGTAAAAGCTATGAAAGAGTGTACAAAGAGGAGGGCTACCCATGAAAAACAATGGAAAGATGAAGCACCCAAAATAGAATTTTAAGAGGACTCTCTGGCAGACATTTTTGAACCCCATCCAAACTTACAATTCCCCACATGTTTCTCATTTGCTTGTCCACATTGGGGGAAAATGGAGAGGGGAAGTACCCTTCTGCAATTCTGAAAGCTGTAACTTTCTTTGGAGTGAATGATGGTCTATGAATGGAGAGTGGAGCAATAAAAGAATATCCACACTCTTGCAGGACTTACCTTGACCTTTGTGGTAGTCTGTGCCTGCCAGAGTCTCTATGGTGATTGGCTGTGCCTTAGTATTCCCAGGTTGGGGATGCTGGCCATTGTCTTTGTTATGGGGCTGCTGGGATTCACATTTTGGCTGCTCTTTCCTCCTGAAATGTCTGGCTATGAGCTGCCACAAGCTTTGTTCTTCCTGCACTGGTTTGGAAGATAATTTTGTAGGACACAGGGGTACCTCCATTACCTTGGTTTTCCCCCTGCTCTGGTACTGAATGTACTGCATGCCCCCATCGTCTGTGGGTTCACATGAAGCTGGGAGCGTTTTTCCTGTGAGATACGAGAATGGCCGTGGAGGCATTGTTGTCTCCTCTCCAGAATTATTAATTTGAGAGTACTCCCTTGACTCCCCCTCAAGCCCCAGATTGACTTTCTCACGTGGCCGAGTCCTCCTGATTCGCAAACTGAAGCTCCGTTTTAGAGAGGTCAGTGTAGTTTTGGAAGCATCGGATTTGTTGGATTTTATGAAAGATGCAGTATCCTTGTCCGTGTCTTTATTCCTATCTTGAGATGTTTTCCCAAACAGTTTCCAACGAAAGCCACCTTTAAAAAATCCTCCTCCATTATTGTCTGTGCGGTTACAGTTTGTTTGGCTGTCAATATAATCATCAGAGCCTTTCTTTCGTAGTTCCAATACCGTCATGCTAACAGGCCTGGGTTTCCCTGTCCTTTGTCGGGACCGGAGAGGCACATCTGCAGATCCTGATGACCTTTGAGCCAACACAGAGTTGAGGCCATCTACTACCCACAGTTCAGACTTCCTGCTCCTCTGCTGCTCGTTATTTTGCAAAACTCCTTCCCCTTTGCAGAGGTCATGGGGCTGCTGTTGTGACAGAACCGGGCCCTGGCCTGGCAAAATACAAAAACTCCTTGGCCTCCCAAGCAGCCTTTCTTGATCCAGGTGAGAATCTCTTTGCTGCTCAACTGGGTTGCCATACATACTCATCGTTCTCCTGCTGAGCAAGGCTTCATTCTGTTTCGGCCTCCGTAACACGGCCCGCGGTAAAGATCTGTCCTCTTCAATGGTGGCATGACCCCCGTGGACCAGCCTTTCAACACGTACGGTGACGGAGCATGGCGGTGAACTCTGAATATGTTGCTTCTGGGTATCCGCCTGAGCTGTTAACTCTACCATATCTCTATTGCATTTTGAGTTCTTACAGGGTTGTTTCAAAAACCTGTCTGTCTTCATTTTTCTCTCCACCTCCTCCTCCAGAATTACCTCCTCTTTGGAACTTCCATGTCTGCTCGTGCCACTCAGGGAGGGCCAGGTGCCGAGTTTCTGTCGTGCTCTGCCCGGCCTTGGGCTGTTCTCCATTGGCACAAGATTCATTAGCTCTCCTTTTAGGTGGGTATCCTCCACCATGCTGTTAGTGACCCACCCCATGTTGGGCTCAGACGATGCTGCATCTCTCTGTGTTTTCTTCAGGGTAATTGAAAGATGGTAAAACGTTATCCCCTCCTGCTGTTGACGTTCAGTGGCACTCCTCGGGGTCACATCCACGGTTCCACTGCTAAGGAATAGCATCACCCTTGAATCAAACAGATCCACACATATTTTTTCATTCACACACTAAAATAGGCATGAAAGACTGGCCACTCTGCCTGGGAGCTGAAAGTCGCTTCATAAAGTCCTTCATTGAAGCCTAAATTCCTATGCCAGGCATAATCCTTCACCTTTGACATGGAAAAAAAAAAGAAAAAAAAACTTCAAACAAGTTAGTGCAATGCCTCACTGCCACCTGCATCCTCTGGCTCCTTTACTAAGCAGACTCCCAAAGGATTTTTCACTCTCCAGCGCCGGTACCTGTCCAGCGTAAAGGATTGCCCAAAAGAAAAACAAGTTCTTTAAGCAAGACATATTTGGAGCAGATAAAAAAGAAACTTGAATCATCCCCCTGTGTTCTTCATCCGTCTTTGTTTGGCAAGTTTACGAACCGTGAGCACTGCTTGCAGTTGGTGCAGACAAACCCCTTAATCTCTGAGTTCTTGCCATGTAGAGCATGAGGGAGTGTGTCTGTGTTTGAACTTTCAGCTGCCTTCCAACCCCTGGGACACACGGAAAACAAGGAGTGGATCCCAGGAGCATTGAACACACCCTCCTTCTTTCTCCAGAGCTGGCAGAAACCCTGGAGATAAAACTAAGCATGAGAGCAAGCGACACATGAGCTGGTGTAATCAGACAACACTCCACAACAAACATACATGGATAGACGCTTTGTGTTCTTCTGGTCGCTGGCAAAGCACAACAAAGACTGATTCATGTCCATGTTTAGTGGAAAGATGGAGAATAAAGTATAACAAACGGTGATATACTTTGCACATTTCTGCGTGTGTGTTTTACCAACTGTACATGATCTGTATAAATAAATGCTAATACACACGTACTGCTTAGGGTTTGCACACCAAATTGTGATAATTTTAACAAGATTTACTTCTGCATCTTTGGAAACCTGTGTCGGTAACATGGACCAACCATAAACCACAGAGCAGGCTTCAGGTGTCTCTGATTGCAGCCTACACTCAGTGGGAGAGGCTTAAGCCTAATTCCAAGATTGGATGACAGCTATTTATGGTGAGGAAATTATTCTTTTTAAAGCACTGACAGTAACTGTGCAGGAAATGCTGCTGTGGGCATCATATAAATTATGCTCTGTGCATTGCAACATGACAACATGATTTTAATTCACCATATATTTAATTAAGTTTGAAGACAGAGCTACCTAAATAGAGGGGCAATGAAATTATCCAACATTTTAATTTCTTACCTTAATTTCATAATAGTGCATTGCTTCATTTAGTATGCACAAAGCTGTGCGTTACAAAGATAATTGCAGGATGATAAAGCCAGGTAACTGCTGTAATTACTGCATGGACAGAGCTGGAATGCTGCCCCTCTGTGGTCAATTACAGAACAGATTTAATAATACAAGGGGATGAGAAATCTATTTACATAAGAGTTATCAATTAGGTACAAGTTTACTAGGAAAACCCTACAATTCCACCAAAATACCCACACAATCCTGCATAATATAAAAAAAAATTCTATATCTAATTTAAAATAACTATTTATCTGGTTCATTATTGTTGTACTGCCATAGTCTTTAAAGTGCAGTAGTACAATATATGGACTTTTCAGTCTATGTGTTATGTATATAGCTCTACCCTGGCAATTGTCTGGAATATAGGTGTTATGATAAAGGTAGTTTCATATTTATTGATACTGCACACATTATTGTAAAACTGTGTTCATGTATTCCATTTTTAGCAAATTTGAAGTAAAAAAAACACCTTCTTTCAGAAATCTGAGCTGAAAAGTGGGAGGTTTCTACTATTTTGTCTTTTTTATTAACTTAGACAATTGTTGCCTTGTGGTTTAAAGTCCAAAAATGATTTTGACCTCAGATGTCTGAGAAAACTTTAACTTGATGCATTTTTAAAAGGTTTTACATTTCTTGGGAGAAACACAAGACAGTGAAAGAATAAAAGTCAAACAAAAGGTAAAACATTACAAAATAATAATAAAAATAGACAGCGCATAATCTGATAGAAATAAGAGGCTTTATTCTCCCACATTTGGCAGACCAAAACCAACGAGTTTACCCAGAGAAATAGTTTCTGTCTAAAAATAAGGATCTTTTATCTACTGAAGTTCTCCAGCCAGCAATTTGCTGAACTCCCTTTTGCTACAGTAAGGCAATAATGATACCTTTTTGGTCTTGTGCTACAAGGTTTTAACACCTGCAAATCAAATGTTAAGCATCTTGCTTTATGTATTGCTACTTTACAAATTAGACTGCTTTTTATTAATATTGTCAACAATTGCAAACAGAAGTTATCAAGTCACTGAACATAACAATTAGCAAATCCTACAGGTTCAGTTTGATTTCACTGGAAAATCAAAATTGTAATTAACCAGCATTTGTGCTCGTTCAGTGTTCCTTACTGAAGCATAGCGAGCATGTTTGTATTTACCTTAAAACTTATATATCACAATTGTTGAATTACTACAGGTAGCCCAAAGAAGCAGTGGTACTTTTAACATAGCAGGAAAACCATGGCTTTAATTAAAAGTATGTTTTCAAGCATATTTAAAATAAAACATTTTTTTTCAACGCTGCTTCATAAAGCTACCTGAAAGATCCTTTTAGGCAGCTACACCAGGTTCTCTTCAGTAAAGTGAGAATGAAAACAAAACCATTCCAGCAATTGTTTACAAACAGGCCAAACCACAGAACATTCTTCTTGAGCAGGATATTTTCAGCATTAAGTTAGCTCCCGTTCTCGTCTGACAGCTCGCTTGTGCAGATTTTACCTGAGACTAGAAAGCAGAGGCAGTGACTAAATTGGGTGTCATCATGGAGCAAAATGTCCTTTCCACTCCACTAGACTGAGAGGTGTCAAGTTCGCCTCTGACTCCTGGTGCAGAGCAGCATTGTCAATTTGACCTTCAAAAGCTAATCATAATTTAGCCATTCTACTGATTCTTTCCAACTGGGATTTGACATGTTTGCCACTGACTGTTACTTTAGATATACTTTCCTGCAAATTAGTTATCTCCAGCATGTTTGTCCTTTGTTGATTTTGTCCAGTTTGCTAGACAAAAAAGCACCCAAAACCTTTTATACTGTGGTAGCAGTTTCCAGCAGAAGCTAGAGCAGTTACTGGAGCGTCTAACGAAGTGAGCCAAAGAGGTCATGTGCCGTGGCTCACTCTAAGTCGCTTCGCTCTCGTAATTCGTAATACAGATGTTGGCTAGCAGCAAGAATCACAGAAAGTATTACAGTTAATTCACAATTATGGAGTTTTTGTTGCTGTGGTCCTTTTGTGTCCAGAGATAGTCTGGATTGAGTATGTCCAGGATTTTCTAACACAGCTTCTCCTGTGCATTCTGCACTCTGTTTTCCTTTGTTCAACAGCCTATAGCATCTTCTTTGTAAGCAAATCCTGAAGACTGCCAGGGAAAAATCTTTAGGAAAAACTGTTTTGTCACTTTTCTGATTTTCTACAAATCTCTGTCAACGTGTCGACCTTGATTATATTGTGCTCATATGCTCTTTATCTCAGATATCTGTGTCAATGCAAATAAAAAAAAAAAAAAAAAAATTGAATTTTTTAGCAGCACAGATTTTTTATGACCTTTCCCCATTCTTTCCAACAAAACAGTCAAAAAAAAGCTGCATTACTTTGTCTTCTTTGTGATATTGCAAACAAACAAAACAATCAATTTCCATTACCAAAACACCACCATGTTTTCCGCATAAATATAAAGCCAAATTCACAAATGAAAGGTTAAATTTGTAAAGAGTACTGGGAAATATACAATTGATGTATATGTAGGCTGTTAATAAGGTGGCTGATTTACCTTTTAACTGAATTACTCTATTTTTCATCCATTTCTAGTTTTTAGCCTTTTAAATGATATTATTGTCAGCTATATGAAGCTCCCGAAACATTTACTAGCATCCCTTATTACTCTGACTAGATTACATTAAAGGTTTGACTGAAATCTTCTTAAATCTTCAAATCTTTCTATTATTATGATAATCTTTAAAATACCATTAATATAATTTAATATATAACATATATAACATGATATTCAAAGTATTTATTTATTTTTTTTTTTTTTTCAGAATTCCAGAAGAAACATAGGCCCAAACAATGACATTATAATCATATCATTGTTTAGGCCTCTTTTTCCCACTTTTAGGTAGTTTGTCTTGTGCAGACTTTTTTTTTTAAGTGTCTTACTTAGAGCAAGTAAAGCAATGCAATCTATTCAGAAAATCCATTTGTCTTATTCCAAACTGAAATTGCTCATTGGAATAGACCTGGGGTTACTCAGAAGCTGAAAGGGAAAAGTTTCACCACTACGTCGATTACCTTCAGAGCTTAGGAAATTTCTAGCAGTGTGATATTTCCAGGATAATTATTCGGACGAAGCAGGGAACAGATATGTCTGAACAGCAGACGTAACAGAATGACAGCCGGGCTGCACTACAGTGTTTATATGGGGACACAGACACTATGAGCGACAAACGATGCTGCTGTCTGGCAGATTGCATGATGGGTCCAAGCCACATGAGTAAAGCCTGCTAACCCCCCGTCAGAATCAGAACATGAGTCAGTCTGAGGAAGACAGTCATGGACATATGCGCTCGTTCACAAAAATGGTCACGTCAGAAGCTGACACGAGAATCAAGGTGGCCCAGTGTGTTGCACATTGCTGCTAAAATAATGTTGTAAAACTTGCTTTGTTTTGTTTCGAAGGGGATGGTGACTTCATTCCCGCATAAGCAACTGCACCGTAATGTGTAAATTTGTTATCTGCTTACAGGGAAAGACGTGCAGTGCATGCCTTCCACATTATTCAGTCTTTGGTGATGGATATGCAAGACAAATTAGTGCCAAGGCTTGTGACAGTGACTCACTTGGTTTAATGAGAACAAAGCTGTTCATGGCTTTTCAGAGGTACTGGTGTCAGGTTTTAAAAACAGCGCTGCTTGAACATGTGAATGTGAAAAATTCAAAACAGAAGCCGAAACGGCGAGACAAGAGGACCTCATTCACAGCAATAAACCTTTGGTGACGAGGTGACTCTGGTTTCGCTGAACAGATTCATAAACTGTGATTAGCGTCATTTGTCACCAGATTCATTAGCTTATATGCTAATCAGCTATTTTGTTTGAGTCTTTAATTTTTTTGTTTTTATTTAATTTGCCAATATGAAAGTTTTGCTATAGTCAGAGACAGTTACATACTCGGGTAAACAAAATCTCTTATGAGGAGATCAATTTGTCAAAAATGTCCGAACTTTGATCCAGAAATGAAGCCACATCCGGAATAAATTAATTCGGGTAAAAACCCTCCAGAGATCCAAGCGGTTAGTGAGCAAGCTAAGCTAAAGGTAGGGTAGTTCATTTAACATCTTGGCCAAAATAAATGCCACTTAGTGGATTGAAGGATCAGCAGAGTATTTTATAAATAGTTATTTATTAAGTAA